GTATTTTTTCTTAATATATATATGATAGAGTCAAATTCTTAATTGATTGAATGAGTTTAACCTGCAACAGAACGAGCAAATGAGATTTTTCCCATTAGATTTGTTCTTTCATTTCATTTTTCTTTTGTGACTTTCTAGGAAAAATGATTCCAGAAGCTCCTTTAGATGGCAACCATGGCATTAAATATTTGGCAATCAAGGACTAGTCTTTAATATTTTTAAGATTAAACGTGTTGATTGCCTTGGTACAAAGCCCATAAACCAAGATCCAGGATTCAACTCTCTCCAACTCTCACCAATGCAATATAAGCCCTTCTTTCCGGTGCAACATGAACACAGTGTGCTTGTTAAAATTGTAGCTGTCTTGGAGTGATCCAATCAAAAATATTAACGAAATATCCAACAAGGAAGACACTGGTTTGTGTTAAATGTATGTGAATGCAGATACAAGTTCATCTATGCATATACAGTTAATCTGGACAAAAAGGAAAAAGTTGAAATTCTGTTTTAGGCTATAGATCTTGCATGTAAGAACTTTAATACTGATACAGAACGATGATCCTCAGAATTTTATTTGTTGAAATTTTATTGGAATTCCGGAAATCATCTTCAAGTGTCTTGCTATCCCCAACTTCAGAAAAGAATTTAAATACTGAAGTACTACACATTTTACATTTTGCAGGTTTGTTATGAAATGAACAGTCCAAAAAGAAATGGCTAAACTATGGTGCAAAGTGCATAATATAAATTATAAAAAACATTGATAATGATCTATAAACTTAAAAGCATAACGAGAACTAATTTTTACTGGGTCTGACCTTTCCAGACCGAGGATCTAAATAATCACTTAATGAGAATCTTTCCACGTTAACTAATTCAAGGATATTGAAATCCAAAAAAGAAGTGGGGTGTAAATAAGTAGGTTCTGCCCTTTTCAATAAGAAATTTTTAATTATCTAAACAAACAATGAATATCCTCTTGCATCAAGCTGCAATTGTTTTCACAACCATCAGAACACAAGAAAATTGCTATGTCAACTGTCAAATTTGACTTTCTTAATTCAAATAAACACAAGTACATGATTAATATGTCACGTTGACTATTTTTTATGTGAAACTTGACTACAATTCAATTTGGAAGCGCCAAACCTCCAAATCATACATGTCAAGTTACTCTAGAAATAAAAAACCCTATAAAGAAACACTAGATGTTGAGGTCTCAGAACTCATGGAGTATGACTACATTCTTAGATGGGAAAAAAATAAAAAGAGTAAACTTTGAGGGAAATTTTAATTTCATACCTGGTGTAACGAAAAACTGAAGGGATGAATCGGTGATTCCAGAATTATCCTCAGTGACTTCAACAGAAAACTCTCCAGCTCGAATTGGGGTAAAGGAAACGTTCCAATAACTAGGATCCCCCTCAAAATATGGGATTACACCAGATATATATGAACTATTTCCCTTCTTTCCACGAACCGAAAGGGAAAGATTCATTGCATATCTGCTAAGATTAAGATTTTTATCGCTGAAAGAATCATCCAATATCTTAACCTTGATGACCGCTATTTCGCCTGCTACATATACAGTCTTATCATCTGCCCAACTTACAACAAAGCTTGGTAAAGGTAATTTGCCCCCAGTACCTGAAAAGGGAACTTATTCAGTTGGTAGAAAATTTGAAATAATTTTCAACAATAGAATGGTATTTGTTTTACGATATAATGTAGTAACCCATTAATTCGATATCTCCTGCAATTGAAAGACAAGCCCTTTACTTTACAGTAGATTCGAATCATAATAATATGGTGGAGATTCAGGCTTTCTCCTTAAAGAGCACAATCACCTAGCTCTAGAAGCAAACTCCCTAGTTTCAAACCCTAGAAAATCTAGAGACTAGAGATGCATTCGTTACCTTTAAGACATTAAAACCCTAAAAAATCAGTCTTTTCCCCCTCCCCTTCCAAACCCTAAAAGAAAGTTATTAGGACCAAAAATCAAAAGAAAAGGAGTAAAATCCCCCAATTTTGTACCCTGTTGCGGAGTAGAATCGTCAGCTAACAAGCGATTTGAGGCTAAAATCAACGAAATTAGCCATAAAATCGAAGAAAATAAGCTCTTCATGCTGTTGAAATGGTGAACAAATTTTGACGAACGGAGCCGAGGGGGTTTGAAGAGGAAGAGCGAGGGAAAACGGGGTTTAAATATAAAAAAGATCGCAGAGGGGGACGGAACGGTTAGCGTAACGGCAAAGCCCAGTGCACGTTCGTCGTGGGTGGGGGCGGTGATTGAAACGGGTAAACGGGTGTATCTACCACAGGATCCGTTTAGCCCAATAGCAGATTTGTAGCCAGAGTATAGCTCTTGGGCTTGAGGTTTTAGATAATTTTATTAAGTGGGCCACTAAAATCAGCCCTATCATTTCCGCCTTGTATCCACAAACAAATCCAAGATACCGAAATAGTATTATTTATACAAAATTTCCAAATATTAGTCTTTTCGGAGTTGAAGTCCTTTTAATTATTTTCGTAAGACTAGACTTCCTCTAGATCACTATGTCTATATGTATTTATTCCAATCGTTTTTGGTGTTTGTACATAACTGCCCCTGATGTTTTTTTTTTCTTTTTTGTTGTGCATATTTAGTATCATGTGTGTTTTAGCTTTTTTCCTTACAATTCCTATTTAATATATATATTTTTGTCTCTTTGTTTTCTTATTAATTTAGTTGACGTTCATAAAATTTGCTCATGGGTACTTTATAGAAATTTTAACCGTAATAAAAAGATATGGACTTCGACTTGCGGATATCCATCTCAACAAATAATAGAGGTCACTTAGAGCTGATCTTAGGAAGGGTCACAGCCCAATTTTGGAAGTAAAACTTAAACAGACACCATTCCAAATTTTTATAACCGAATGACTAACTGAAAGCAAACCCCTTTGCATCATCTGACAATATCTACGTAGCTATTACTTTTCATACGAAAAGGTAGAAAGTAACTTTAGAAAATAACACTAAAATACTGGCAAATGCTTGTTGTTTTATAAAATGCAATTGCCACTTTGGACAAGATCAAATTCCAAACAGTTGCAATGTACGTAGTTAAACTGCCATAATGCGTAACTCTTTAATGTGGCACTCGGTCAAGTCAAATTATGATCTTAGCAAGCCAAACACTTTATTCCTTTTGTTTTCTTGATTATTATCCAATTAACCACTCAGTTTTCTATGGAAGTCACCCATTTGAACCCCTTGGTAACGAGCATTTGGTTATAAAATGACTTTGAATGGAGTAGGTTTAAGTGCTAGCGTAGCTCTCATTACTCATAGCTGTACACATGCGTTTTAAAAAAATAAAAAAAAGGGGCAAATAAGCCCATATTGGATACTAGTGGAGAGTTGCTTAAACTTTAGGTTGTAGTTTGGTATTGTTATGATTATTAACCTAATGTCCACTTATATCTCACTTTGTCATCTGGAACCATGTGCATAAAAATTGGTTTGGAGGACAAGCAAATAGGTTGAATAAGCCACATATGGACCCAAGAGAGAGAAGCTAGCTCAAGCAATGCTCAAATTTGGTCATTTATTTAATGACTTGTAATGAGAGTGATATTGGCAGTGTAATGATTTATCCATCATTACATTTGCTTAGTGAATAGATGTTTTGATTTTACTATACACATCTGTTGCGTCCAGCGGAAACGGACTCAATCCACAACAAGTCGGTAAGCAACGAACAAAGAACATCACGAGCACAATTCACAATGAAACGACAAAAACCAATCACAAACACAGAGATTTAGGTGGTTCGACAAGTTGCCTACGTCAACGAGGAGATGATGGAAAGATTTGACTATATGGAGGAGAAACACAATGAGTTACAACTCTCAAACACTCACAATAACCCTAACCAACAAGATCTCACACCCTCTTAATAATCTCCCTCTCAAAGTACTCAAAACAACCTCTTTTCTCTGATTCAAAACCCTAACAAATGTGTTTCTATTTATATAAACACTCAAATCCAAAACATGCTAGGAAACAATTCAGCCCAATAACCTGCTATCGGTCAACTGATGAGAATTTATCAGTCGACTGGTAGGTGTTCATCGGTAGATCAGTAGGTGTCATCGGTCGACTGTCCAGTAGAATTTTTCTGTCGTTCCTGTAGTGGGCCCGTTATCGGTCGACTGATCATTGTTATCAGTCGACCGATGGTCCGTAGCAATGATCAGTATGATATCAAATAAGCCATCTATGTTCTTAAAGATGAGGATGTGGAGCTTGTGAAGATCCACACAAAAGACAATCCAGTAGATATGCTCACGAAAGTGATCCCTTACAACAAGTTCGATCACTGTAGAAACTTGTTATAGATTCGTGCTTGTTGAGGCCTGTCGAAGCCATTTGGAGGAACTATGGGCGGCTTGATCCCTTGGGAGAGGGGGTACGTAGGCAACCATATTGGTGCAGCTGGATTTGGAGAGATGACGCATTGGTGCTCGTGTTGGTGTCGGCTTAGTTTTGGGAATACTTCGTTGAGGTGGAGAATTCCTGAATGAGGTGAAAAATCACATGAAAAAGCAGCAGGACCATCAGTCGACTGATAACAATGATCAATCGACCAATAACGGACCATCGGTTGACTGATAATAATGATCAGTCGACCGATAACGGGCACACTGCAGGAATTGAAAAATTCTACTGGATAGTCGACCGATGACACCTACTGGTCGACTAATGAACACTTACCAGTCGACCGATGAATTCTCATCAATTGACCGATAGCGGGTTATTGGACTGAATTGTTTCCTAGCCTGTTTTGGATTTTGGTGTTTATATAAATAGAAACACGTTTGTTAGGATTTTGAATCAGAGAAAATAGGTTGTTTTGAGCACTTTGAGAGGGAGATTATTGAAAGGGAGTGAGATCTTGTTAGTTAGGGTTATTATGAGTGTTTGGGAGTGTTGGAAATTGAGGTTAAATCTGGAATTGAACAGTGAAGGATGATGTGCTGTTATTTTTATTTTTCAATTAACTGTTGTGCGTTTGTAAAACACTGTGCTTAAAGTAATATTTGACCTACTTCGGTGTAAGGATCCCAAGGCCAAACTATTTTCAGGAACAGTAGTATAGTACTCTGGTGTACACCAACCCAGTACTGTCAAGATCTCCTCGATCTATAAGACCTTTCGGTCAAGGCAAAAGATCTCTTCAATCTCAGAACCTTACGGTTCAAAACCTTTCGGTTTTAGGGTTCCTGCGGGCACAATTCTGCAGCAGCAGCACAATAACAGCATCAATCTGACGTTCGTATTCCAAGCTCGCGTGGGTATTCCGACGTTCATATTCCACGCTCACGAGAGATTTTCCAACTACAACCAAGAGCTGCCCAAGGGCGCTATTTATAGGCCTCTAAGGCCAGCTCAAGAGATATTAGCAATTAATGTGACCGTTATAATTCTTAATGACAATTAAGATTGTAACATCAAATGCATTAAATTGCTCTTAATGCTGTTGTAACTGCTGCATGCAGTAACTACTGAATACGAGGCAATCAATGGACACGTTGCTACGAAACGCGAGGGTCACATCTCAGCAAATCAGACGAATCTCGTTTGATAAATGAACGTCGTCAAACAAGCGAACCTCGTATGACAGACGAACATCATCGAACGAGCGAACATAGTCAAATAGGCGAACCTCGTATAACATACAAACCTCGTCGATCGATCGAACCTCGTCAAACAGGCAAACCTCGTATGACAGACGAACCTCGTCAAACAGGCAAACCTCGTCAAATGAACGAACATCGTCAAACAGGCGAACCTCGTATGACAGATGAACCTCGTCGAACGAGCGAACCTTGTCAAACTACGAGAACGCTAAGGTCACCCTCATGCGAATACGTAGCTCGTCTCGTATGCTGCGAAGCAGCCAACGTGACACCAAACAACGCCATCTTGCCCCGATGCCTCCGTGCGAAGTGCGCCTAACAAAGCGCCACTTAGCGCCTCAGCCCGATTAGCCCTGATCCCCGGTCCATTGGCCTACGGCCCACAATCCACTAGAACTTATGAGGGATTAATTCAAATAAAACACTTCTTGGCTTTTCGTTGGCAAGCCTCGAACAAGGGACCTTTTGAAATACCAAAACATAAACTTTCCACTAGGCTACTAAGCATTTATGAAAAGTACTTGTAGTTAATATATATATATAGTTTGAAAACTTAATTTTGGAAAGCGGTTTTGACCAAAAAATCCAACAATCTCCCACAAGTTTTTAAACTAGTATCATGTTATAGTGTCGTCGTTTCAATCGTTGTGCATAATGTAGATGTCGTAAGGACTTGAATCCCCTTTAGACCAACTAAATAGAAGATAGATGCATATTGTCGCAGAGACTTGAACCAGCACATGTCTAAAATCTAGCGATCACACAAGATCAAATTTATCTGTGGTAGTTTTCACTTTGAACCACACTTGTCTTTGCCTTTGCACATTTATGGCCCTGTCTAGTCCTGGTTTCTGCTAGGGCTCTAGGTATCTTTCCATAAGACATCATAGGAGACGGTCAAATCTCCACCCAGGCATAGGTGAGTTCTTTAGGCATGTTTTCTATCAAACATCCCGCATCCAAAATGCTTTGAACTCATTAAGGCTTAAGAGACATCCTCTCTCATGATAGGATTCTAGGTGAGTCCTTTAGACGTGTTTCCTATCTAACACCCCACATCCGAAATGCTTTGGACCCATTAAGGCTTAACAGCCAGCCCCTTTACATGATAGAATTATCGGTGAGTCCTTTAGGCATGTTATCTATCCAACATCCCACATCCGAAATGCTTTGAACCCATTAAGGCTTAACAGCCAACCTCTTTACATGATAGGATTTTACTTGTAAATCTTACTTGACTTTTGAACCAATCATCTTATCATTAGTAGCATAAGCTTTGAACTAATAACTTGACGAAATGGTAAGTATTTGTAAGACTCGCCAAACTTTGCAAATCATACTTGACTTTTGAGCCAGTTATCTTTATTATTAGTAGCATAAGCTTTGAACTAATAATTGGATGAATATGGTAAGTATTTGTAAGACTCACAAAACTTTGAGACCCATTGTAGCAGACGTTCTTTTGACTATGTCCT